ATATTTTCACAATTTTTTTACATTTATTTGGCATTTTATTTTAATTTTTCTAACATAAAAAAACATTTGAATACTTTTATAATTTATTTAAACTTGAAAATAATATTTACAATTTATACTTTTCTTTTTGTTCTTTATTTTTATTCATACTAAAAATATTTTCCTAAATATATTTTATTTTTGTACATATTTTATTTTTATATTGTATATATTTAATTTGATTAATATATATATATATATATATATATATATATATATATATATATATATATATATATATATATATATATATATATATATATATATATATATATATATATATATATATATATATATATATATATATATATATATATATATATATATATATATATATATATATATATATATATATATATATATATATATATATATATATATATATATATATATATATATATATATATATATGATCTAATCTGATCAGACTTGGACTGTCACGGCTGGCTCCGAGCTAAAGTTTTGAACGAGGTGGGGGGGGGGGGGGGGTACCTGCAAGGCACTCCGATGCTGAAGTAAGTAAGAGTACGAGCAGGCAAAAGTGTGAGTATATGTGATAGAATGAATACCTGAACCTCTGGAAACAGAGGGTATTTATAGCCCCCAGCGCTGGGCCAAGGTTCCTTCGTTGGGCCGGGCAGGTTTGGCCCAATAGAGGAACTGCCAGGTTCTACGTGCGTAGTGGGGACCTGCACGTGGTCCCCTTCCTGGATGTTCTGCGTGAAGTGCGGGCGGACAGGGACGCGGTCTTTTCGGAGTCCCGTTGAGGGTGCAGTGGGCCGTGTCCGCTGGCGAAGGAGCGCTCGAGCTGATGTCGAGCTGGATAGTGCGAGGACGGGGGTGTCGCCCAGTGACGTGTGTCGGGCATAGCTACGGTCCTTAGGTCAGCGTGACTCCTAGCAAGTCCGTTTGGATTGGGCCTTTATCGTTGCTCTTGGGCCGGCCCGGCCCAGTCCAGAACAATATACATATATACTTTTATTTTATTAAATACTTTATAATAAAAATACAAATATTACATTTTCACTTTATTATTATTTATACTAAAAAACCACTTTTTCTAAATAATTTTCATTTTATATATATCAATATATTTTATTGTACATAAATAATATAACATTTTATTAAAGAAATTAGGGTTTACCCTTAAAACAAATAAAATTAATCTTTTTTTATTTCTTTATATTCTTTTTACATTAAAAATACTTTTACATACATAAACAAACAAAAAATTCTTTTTTGCATAATACATATTATTTGTTATATTTATTTATTTTGTTTATGTAAATATTGTCCATTTAATATTTATGCTTTGAAAATTCAATTTGGATGTAATAGTAAACTAGGGTTTATGTTTCTTGTCAAATACCCCCCATTCAAAATTGTACCCCCATCCCCATAATCATGTTGTAATAGCTTAGAACTTTAAATTCTCGCATTTTACGCTTTCAATTATGCCATGATTAGAGAATTAGGGTTTGTATGCAAAAATCCAAATCAACAAATAGTTTGACCTAATCAAAGACAAAAATGCATGAAAATCAAACACAATGCACACTTGCACCCTAGGGTTATAATCCACTTGTTGCCTTCAAAAATGGGCCATGGTATGCATGTTGGGTACTTTGGCAAAACAAAAACAAAACAAAAGATCATAGTCCCTCGATGACGCTATCTTGGTTGCCTAAACAAAAATGATCAAGTCCCTCAAGAAAATTTCCAAAGATACTTGACACAATTGTTATCATGGTTTATACGATGACCCGCGCCGGTCCCGTTTAACATCCTAACACAAGGTTGTTCATCAAATGTAATGGTGAAACAACACTGTCAAAAGGGTTAAAAACATTAGGAAGGATCTTTGAGTAAAATATGGTAGATAGCTCTTAGTTACTTGATCAAAAGCTTGCAAAAAAACATCCTTGCTATTTTCAAACACACCTCACAACACAATTTCAAAACATTTTCCAAATCAAACTTTCAAAACATTGAAATCTTTTCAAAAGACAAAAACCCCTTTGTATACATTCAAACAAGAATCATTACAAAGGTTGCCACAACGATGGCCTCTTTTCAAAACATCTTTCAAAACCACACACAAAGCACCATTTCAAACAATTGGAAAAGCAAAGCAAGTGATCTAAACAAGTAACTAAGAGCCCATGGATAATCATGGATGAAAAGGGTGCTTGCACCTTCCCTTTTCATAATCTACTCCCCGAACCCAAGAAAACATCTCAAAGGTCTTTCCTGTGCTTTTTGACCTTTCCTTAGGATAAAATAAAAAGTCGGTGGCGACTCTTGCTAAACCGAAACATTTGCAAACACAAACACAAAACCTCAAGTCAGTTCTCCCACCGTATCACACATAAGTTCGAGGTTGAAGGTGAAGAGCAAATGTAATATGTTTTTATAGTTTCATCAAGTTGGAATGATGCCTGTATGATGTATTTATAATTGTGGAATTTAGATGCAAAAAGGGAATTTTTGAAATTAAAAAAGAATTGAAAAATTAACCCAATTAAACAGTATGTGTCGACCTGAAAATCGTATGTGTCAACACATAAGTCAAAATTTAACTGCATGTGTCGACCTAAAAAATGGATGTCTCAGCCTAAGCATGGTAGTAGTGTTTAGATTTTAAAACTGCAGTTCATGTGCCTGCCTGAAATTCATATGTGTCGACACATAAAATAAGTATTTTTGCAATTTCATAAAATTTCCAGTATGTGTCGGCCTAAGTCCTCTAGAGACTATATGCTTCAAAATTGAGTTTCATGTGCCGACTTAAAACACGTATGTGTCGGCACATGCAAGAAAAAATCACGCAAAACTTGTTTTTCAAGACTTTAGTCAATTTCAAAATAGTTTTTAATGGTTCCTAAGACCCCTAATACAAAAGAGTGCCACAAGACATAGACACAATCCAATATACAAAAATGCTAAATTTTTCTAATTTTTATATCATGCAAAACTTCTAACAGTGAAATTGCACTCACACATGAGCATATGCCAAGCTTCCAAAACATTTAAATACTGATTAATACTGTTTTAAAAACATCTTTTCCTGAATGAATGGTACAAATGGTGATTAAAAATCAAACAAGTACAATATGCACATAAAAATTGTAGAAGTTGGCTAAGCAACCTCTAATGTTCACTTAGCCAACCTTGATGCTGACTGATGGCTAAGCGAGTTTTGTTGGTCGCTTAGCGAAGTCTGATATATTGGGGGGCTAAGCGAAATAATTAGTGGCCAAGCAAGATTGTCTCTACATCATCACTATTCTGATGACTTAAGAACATGTCAAATTTTTCTATAAAGATTATCAAAGCTAAAGTCTACACAATATCTATGATATTTAAATTATTTTTATAATTAAATGATTGTTTAAAATAATTCAAAAATTGTTGTTTTGAAAAAAAAATGTTTGTGTGCATAAGGTTTAACCGACCTAAATTATTTGCTCCCTTATCTTTAGCCTTTTTGAATTTAAAGAAAAATCAATATTTTTTTTAAGTTCAACCACATTAAAATCAAAAGAAAAATCTTAGTGATTCATGACCGATGATTTTTTAGTTGAAATACAAAATATTTTTTTTAGTTTATGCATTGTCCAAACAATGAGAAAAATACTAAACCTTTTGAAAAATAAATCAGCAAGAATATAATTCTGACAATAAATTGACTCTTGATCTAGACATAAATTGCTTAATTGGTAAAAGTTAAATATTGCATTAAATTACAATAAAGAAGGAACTCAAATACATGAATATACTATATTTATATATAAAAAATAAATTTTTTTAACAATTTTTTTAAAAAAAATGAAGTATTACGAGTTTTGTAACTCTACTTATTAGGGGAAATACTACTGTACCGACCATTCATTATTTTAAAAGCATCCATGGACTTTATCGATAAAAAATAATAGACACCCTTAAATTCTAAAACATTCTCAAATGCAACAAAATAATTTGATAATAATTCGTTCAATTTAAAATTTAACTCGAATTTGATACAAATTTTTTGTTAAGTCAGACTCGATTCGTTTAAGTTCATGAATAACTCAATTTTTTAAATTTAATTCTTTAAATTTATTTGATTTGATTTACGAATTTATAAGCTGATATTTTAAAAAAAAATTTATATATTTAATATTTTAAAAAAATATTAAAATAAAATAAAAATTATAAAATTGAAAAAAATGGAAAATTAAGATTTGAAATAACTATTTAAAATTACTATTTAAGTCAATAAAACTCTTCTTTTATATATATTTCATAAACCTAACTAATCGATTTATGTAATATGTTGATTTAATTAATAAATTTAATTTTTTCTTCATATTATCATTGTTAGCCCTAACCATGAAAATAATTAAGTTGCATTATTTATGAAAAGAAAAGCTTGATTGTTGGAATTTCTTGAAATAACTTGAAATCAACCGTGTTTGAATTTTTTTTTCTATTTGTCAAAAAAAAAGCCGTCCATTACGCCAAAAAAGAAAAAGAAAACCGGCCTTTTTTTGTAATAGAAAAAAATAGTACGATTAGTAGTACATTTTCATTGTATGTGTACTACTAGTATATTAAAAAAAAAAAAGTGGAGTAGTTTTGTCAAACATTTCACAATACTCCTACTCCTTGGTCAACTTTCCATTATAGCGTGTTTACGCTTACGTTAAATGCCCACTCTTTTCTAATAATAAAATAAAATAAAATAAAATAAAATAAATAAATAAATAAATGTCCACTCTTCAACACTCTCTCTCTCTTATTCTTTTCAATTCAATCTTTGCCGTTTCGTTTCTGCACTTTCACGCGCAATATCGCCCAATAAACTCTCTCTCTCTCTCTCTCATCACAAAAACCTAGCTCGATTGGTTTGTTATGGTTTTGCAGTGCGATTTTCTTTAGAAAAGAGTAACAGAAACAGAGTTGGTTGTTAGATTGAATCGATGGAAGGTTTACTCAAGGATTTCGAATTGGAAGACAAGGATCGTTCAATCGAAGCTCTCACTCGATGGAGATCCGCCGTCGCCTTGGTCAAAAACCCTCGCCGGAGGTTTCGCAACGTAGCTGATCTCGCTAAACGCGCTGTAGCGCAGGAGAAGCAGAGGAAAATTCAGGTTTCATCGGTTTTCTTCTTCAAGTTCTTTTTCCCCTTTTCTGTTACGCGGCGTTTGATTCTTGTTAATAGCCACGGTTAATAACAATAAAAGAAAAACTTAAAATTCACGTGTCGTTCATTCCCAATTTTCTGGCGGAAAGGAAAACTACCAAATGTTTCGAAACTGAATTTCTCCATTTCAATTTTTTTTTAAATAGTATTGAATAAATGCATTTTACTCCATGAGAATGTTTTGATTATTAGTTATAACTTAGAAATTGTTTATGTTAACACTGCTACCGTTAACCCAGCTTAGTTGCTTCTTTGTATGAACATCAAATGTAGAGCACCAAATTATTTTTGAAACAATTAATTTATTTACTGTTTAATAATTTAATAAATGAATGTGGGGTAATTGAAACCAGCGTTATAGCTGAATTTTCTATTTAAGGGAGTGCTATTTATTTTCACATGGCTAGTACGTAGTGGCCAGCACAACTCAAATTTTTAGCAAGTGCTCTGCATCTTTATTTTTACGTTTATTTTATATTTTCAATGAGTTTAGCATATGCTCATCACATGTGACAAATACATACTATAATTAACAACAGCTAATACATGAATGAATGGCACTTTACAAATAAATATTGTAGCTCACACCAAGAAGGAATCGAATCTGTAAACTTTCTGATATGGTAGACGCTACTTTTTAAAATTAAACTATATTTTATGACTTCAAACAAAAACAGTTGAGCTAATTTTTACTAGTAACTTTCTGAATTAACGTGATCTTGAGATTGAAGTGCGCATGGGTCCCATGTGAAATTCTGATTTTTCTTATTTCTTTAGGGACAATGAAACTTAGATTATTGTTTAGCCAGAGACCTTAATTATAGAAAATAATAATATAAATAAACTTTTTTTAATTTGTGATAATAACGAAACTTCGTGGAATTTTCCATAGATACTACGTGCTTTTATTCAAATACCATGTATAGGACCCACTAGCGAGATTGGAAATGTTTTCGGTTCCACCCAATAATAACAATAGAGAAATGATAAGATGACACCGATTCCATACACTTACATCCAATACACTATTGATAAATATATCAAGTGTTTTTATTATTATTTTAATTTTTTGATATAATAAAAAATTACTTTTTATTTTTCTTTAAAATTACTTTTGGTTAATGAAATATTAAAATTTGGTTAATACAGTTCAAAGTTTAGTTAATATATATTTTGATATAAAAAGTTAATATGTATGTTGTTGAGACTTTGGTTAATAGTTTGTATAAAGTTGTTTATTACCGTTCTTAACATCGTTTATGAATTCTCAAACAAAAAAAATATTAAATAATAAAAATAAAATTGGTTAATAGAATATAAAAATTGGTTAATACATTTATAATTTAGTGTCAGAACATATATATATTTTATTGGTCAATGAAGTAGTGAAAATGATTAATGAATTATACGTAAAATAAGGAGTTAATGACGTATATTTTTTGTGGTTAATATAATTGTAAAGTTGGTTAATATATATTTGTTTTATAAAATAAATTTTAAAAATAAATATTTAAAAAAATTATTATTTTTTAAATAATATTATTTTAATAGAAAACACTTTTCACCGTATAAGTGGTCTCAACACAGCATCTGATAACAATAAGGCAATGTAATATGTGTCGGATTTGCTGCCAATGAAAATTGGTCCAGTTGAGGACATGACCCATAATGACAGCCACGTCAATCCTTTGGATGACAAAATTAAGTGGAAACATTATCGGAGGAATCAAAATGTGTGAAAAGTGAATAAAAAGTACTCCAACTAAAACAAAATATAACTGTGATTGGACATAAATATGTGTCTGTGTCGAATAATGCTAGTTTAGAATTAATTACAAAAATTGGCCAAAAGAGTTAATAAAATATATCAAAATTTACTCTTTACATTGAATATATTTTACTATATCATTTAAATAAAAGTATTGTTGTAAATATATTTTTGACATACTATTGTCATTGTCTTACATAATTAATTATTAATCATTTTTATCAAAATCCTTAATTCCACCTGTCTTTATTGAATTTTCATTTTTTCTTCTTCTGATTATAGAATGTTCAACATTTTCTCTTGTTGCTAGCTAGCTCTGTGTCATTCTTAGAATCCGTAAAGTTAGAGCAGATTATTTACTTGAAAGAGTTCACATAATTGTTAAAGTTCTTCACTGTTAGCATGAACTTTATAAATAGTATCTGTTAGTGTTGTTGTGTCCCCTATAAAATATTTTTCTTCATAAACATATTGTCAATTTGTTACTTATAGTTTGAATATATATTTATTATAACTGACATCAGGGAAAGTTTCGGGCTGTTATCAATGTTCAACGAGCAGCACTGCATTTTACCGATGGTAAGGTGCTCTAATTTCTATAATAATTGAAATTCATAAAATTGCTTTAGATAAACTTTTCAATAAGCACTTAGAAATATTTATGCATGAAATTTATTTACACATTAAATACAATACTACTTTTCTTAATATATCGCAAAGAGAGCTTATAAAGGGAAGGTGGTAGTATATTAGATAGTCTGCTGCTGGGATTTTTCTAGTTTGTATTCAAAAGCCTCCAGCTTCAATTCCTTTATACTTAAAAGGTCTAACTTCTTCCACAAGCTAATCCAAACTGGTCTGGTTTTCTTATGCAGCTATTGCTTCACCTGAATTCGAGGTATCAGAAAAGACGAGAGAAGCTGGTTTTGGAATCGAACCAGATGATATTGCATCAGTTGTTCGAAGCCATGATTACAAGAACTTTACAAAAGTTGGTGAAGTTCATGGGATTACAAGTAAACTTTCAGTCTCAGTTGATGAAGGTGTCCGTCAAGACAGTATACATAGTAGGCAAGAGATTTATGGGTTCAACCGTTATACCGAGAAACCATCTAAAAGCTTTTTGATGTTTGTTTGGGATGCACTGCATGACTTAACACTCATCATTCTAATTGTTTGTGCTTTAGTTTCCATTGGCATAGGGCTTCCCACTGAAGGGTGGCCAAAGGGTGTTTATGATGGTCTTGGAATCTTACTTAGTATATTCTTGGTAGTTTCTGTTACTGCTATCAGTGACTACCAGCAATCTCTACAGTTCAGAGATTTGGATAAAGAAAAGAAAAAGATAGATGTTCATGTTACCAGGGATGGTAAAAGACAGAAGATCTCAATTTATGACTTGGTAGTAGGAGATATAGTTCATTTGTCAACCGGTGATCAAGTTCCAGCTGATGGGGTTTTTATACATGGATATTCATTGTTAATTGACGAATCAAGTTTGTCAGGTGAGAGCGAACCTGTAAATATAGATGGTCGAAGACCTTTCCTTCTTTCGGGAACCAAAGTGCAAGACGGTCAGGGGAAAATGATAGTTACAACTGTTGGCATGAGGACTGAATGGGGAAAGTTGATGGAAACTTTGAGTGAGGGAGGAGAGGACGAGACTCCTTTACAGGTGAAGTTGAATGGAGTTGCTACAGTTATTGGTAAAATTGGTTTGACTTTTGCTGTGCTGACATTTTTGGTGTTGACAGTAAGATTTGTGATTGAAAAAGCAGTTCATGGAGACTTTAGCAGTTGGTCTTCAGAGGATGCACTGAAGCTACTGGACTACTTTGCTATTGCTGTAACCATAATAGTTGTTGCAATTCCTGAAGGATTACCATTAGCTGTAACACTCAGTCTTGCTTTTGCAATGAAAAAATTGATGAACGATAGGGCACTTGTCAGACATCTTTCTGCGTGTGAGACTATGGGTTCAGCTAGTTGCATTTGCACCGATAAAACAGGAACGTTGACGACCAACCATATGGTGGTTGATAAAATTTGGATATGCGAAAAGACCACACAGATTAAAGGTGATGAGAGTACTGATAAATTGAAATCAGAGATATCTGATGAAGTTCTAAGCATCCTTTTGCAGGCTATATTTCAGAATACGTCATCGGAAGTTGTTAAAGACAAAGAAGGAAAGTGGACAATATTGGGAACACCAACAGAATCAGCAATATTGGAATTTGGCTTGGTTTCAGGCGGTGATTTTGATGCACAGCGTAAATCCTGTAAGATACTTAAGGTTGAGCCTTTCAATTCCGACAGGAAGAGGATGTCTGTGCTCGTAGGTCTTCCTGATGGAAGGGTCCGGGCTTTCTGCAAAGGTGCATCCGAAATAGTGTTGAAAATGTGTGATAAAATCATTGATAGTAATGGAACAACAGTTGATCTTCCTCAAGAGAAAGCAAAGATTGTGAATGACATTATAGATGGATTTGCCCATGAAGCTTTGAGAACTCTTTGTTTGGCTGTCAAAGATATAGATGAAACACAAGGCGAAACCATCATCCCTGAAAATGGATATACTTTGATAGCCATTGTAGGAATCAAGGATCCTGTGCGCTCTGGAGTTAAGGAAGCTGTTCAAAAATGTTTAGCAGCTGGAATATCTGTCCGCATGGTCACTGGTGATAACATAAATACAGCTAAGGCTATAGCTAGAGAATGTGGTATACTTACTGAGGGTGGTATAGCCATAGAAGGACCAGAATTTCGCAATTTGTCTCCGGAACAAATGAAGGATATCATACCAAGAATTCAGGTTTTGATCTCATTATGTCCATAGACTTTCAGTTCTCTTTTCTGACATGCTTGTCTTGCTAATGTGATTAACACGGTTTCAGGTAATGGCACGATCCTTACCTCTTGACAAGCATACCTTGGTAACCCGTTTGAGGAATATGTTTGGTGAGGTTGTAGCTGTTACTGGTGATGGTACCAACGATGCTCCTGCACTGCACGAGTCAGACATTGGGCTTGCCATGGGCATTGCAGGAACTGAGGTTTGTCTCTAGCTATCATTGGCAATCAACTGCACTATTTTTATGTAGTTGCTTAATTTGAATCTTGTTGAGGGTACAAAAATGTTATCTTCTGTTCTAGAGATTCTTTTACATTTTCCTTTTCCTCTTGTCCATCCTCTCCTCTTCTTTTTAGAGAAGTGGATCCATCTTAAATTAATAGACGAGACTTCTTGAACAATTCTGTTGTCATCTTTATTATGGAAGCAGTAGATAATTTAAACTGCAGTTTTTGAAAACCTTTCCATACATTCAATCCGTAAACATTTATGTCTTTTGAGACATAAGTTCCTTTTCTTATCCCTAAGTTCTTCGACATGATTGCTACATGTTTTTTCCCGATAATCAAGTTATTACCCCAAAATCAAGCATTTTAGTGAGTACTACTACTTATCTTTTTAGAATTTGTTCTACTTGTTCCAGTATCTGTTATAAGTTAATGCCTAATTGATGTTTATTACTATTTTTAATTATACCTTCCTTTTACAGGTTGCAAAAGAAAATGCTGATGTGATTATAATGGATGACAACTTCACTACCATTGTCAAAGTGGCTAAATGGGGACGGGCCATATACATAAACATTCAAAAATTTGTGCAGTTTCAGTTAACAGTTAATGTTGTTGCTCTGATTACTAACTTCGTTTCTGCATGCATCACTGGTTTGTTAATTTGTACTAGTTTTGTTTTCCACTGAAAAGTTGCTGAGTATGTTTCATGAAACTGAGCTTAAACTTTCTTCATTATTTTCAGGAGCTGCTCCACTAACGGCTGTTCAGTTGCTTTGGGTTAACTTGATTATGGACACTCTTGGTGCATTGGCCTTGGCTACTGAACCTCCTAATGACGGACTTATGGAACGACAACCAGTTGGAAGGAACGCAAGTTTTATTACCAAACCAATGTGGAGGAATATCTTAGGTCAAAGTTTGTATCAGCTAATTGTCCTCGGAGTTCTAAATTTTGAGGGGAAGCGGCTATTGGGACTAAGTGGCCCAGATTCAACTGCAGTACTCAACACTTTGATATTCAACTCCTTTGTACTTTGCCAGGTATCACGCACCTCTTTGATCTATCACTTTTTTCTTAAATACCAGTGATGCATTCAGTAAAGTATATAGATAAAATGATCTAGTTCCATTCTGTTCTGCTTACTTTGTTGCTTTCCCTCTCTTTTACCAGGTGTTCAATGAGATAAACAGCAGAGAAATTGAAAAGATAAACATATTCAGAGGCATGTTTGACAGCTGGATATTTTTAAGTGTTATTCTCGCCACAGCAGTATTTCAAGTAATCATAGTTGAGTTCCTTGGAACATTTGCCAGCACAGTTCCTCTAACCTGGCAATTCTGGTTACTCAGTGTGTTATTTGGTGTACTTAGCATGCCTTTAGCTGTTATCCTCAAATGCATACCAGTTGAAAGAAATACAACAACAAAGCATCATGATGGTTACGAGGCACTTCCTTCTGGTCCTGACCTGGCATAAAGTGTAGGAAGAGTGTGACATTTTTTCTCCGTTCATTTTCTTTTGTGCAAACTTGAATGAAATTTTGGTTCTTGTGTTTTCATTTGCAACTACATCTTGAAATTTATGTTAGTGAAATTCTCTCAAAGATTCAAACAGGTCAAATGACAAACAATTGCAATCAAAGCTAAACATTCTAAAAAATAATCAATCTACCAATCAGGTGTATGTAAATCATAAACTAACAGACAAGATACGCCGGGAAAGCATCTCTCTGATCCACTACTGATCAAAATTTTTAATAACAAATTACACTTAAGTTAGAAGAAATTAGCTCAATGAATTCCTCAAAACACTTTTTAATTTTCACCTATTTGTGACTTAATCTCTCCTTCTATTAATACATAATCACTCAGTCCTAAAGTGTAGTTTGAAAGTGTATCTCAACCCTTAAATAACCTTCAAAATCTTCCAATTTTTGGGATTAGAAATTTCTAAGAATTTCTCTCTTTCGTCTCTAGAAAACTCTCTTTTAAAAAAAATAGAAAATGTATGGTTAAGGCATGTGCCTCCGCGTTTCACTGGTCACCAGCCGCCTCATGGTTGAGGCAGAAACAAATTTATCTAAATTCCACCCTCCACCCGTCTTAATCTCACAGGTGATGAAGTGTCAAAAGATTCAAAAAATTGTTTTCAAACTTCGTATGTTTTCAAAAAACTATTCTAAAAACGTGTTGATTTGGGTATAGTTTATTTCAAAGTTCAAAGAAAATATTTCAAAGAATATCATCATGGGAAATCAATATTCCTATATTTAATTCAAATTTTAAAAAACAATTCAAAAATATTATTTATTTCAAGTAATTTTAATATTTCTATGTTTAATTCAAATTTTAAAAAATAATTCAAAAATATTATTTATTTCAAGTAATTTTATTTATATATGGTACTTTAATTTTATTCTAAGGCTTGAAGAGTGTGAATATTACATTTCTATGAAAATAAATTTGATTAACTATAACTTTTCACTTTCACTCATGTTTACTATTATTTTAAATAAACAAAATTTATAATTATTTATGAGAATCTAAATTTCTATCAAACACATAAATTAGAATAATATTAATGAGAATAATAATCTTGAAAATATAATTTTAAAGAATATAATTTTATACCTTGAAACAATCACACCCTTAAAAAAATGCTTCCTAATTGAATATGAAACTTGTGTAATTGATTATGAGGCGAACTACCTCAATAATCAAATATGATGCTTAACTAATGTTGAAAGTTAGAGTGAAAAACAAAAAAGAGCGTTAAATCCTCTATATTTGTATAAGAAAGTATGTTTAGGGTATCCTCGTCACAAAAGGATAATTAAATTTGTGTATAAAAATATTTGTAACACGGTGGAAGAACTGACTTGGGTGTTTGCGTTTGATCTCAATTGTGCGGATAGCAAGAGTCGTCACCGACTTTTCTTTTATCCAATAAGGAAAGGTTGAAAAGAACATGAAAGACCTTTTGAGATTTATTTCTTGAGTTCGGCGGATAGGTTATGAAAAGGGAATGTGTTAACACCCTTTTCATCCATAGTTATCTACGGGCTCTTAGTTGCTTGCTAGATCACTTGCTTTTTGTTTGAAAGTGTGTTTGTGGATTTTGGAAGTATTTTGAAAAGGAGTGTCTTTGTAATGGTTCTCGTCTCTATAAGAACGCGTACAAAGTGTTTTGTCTTTTGAAAATATTTTCAAAATGTGAGTGTCGATGTATAAAATGTTTTAGTTGTGAGAAAGTGAGCAACTAGGAGCATCCTATCTACTCAAAAGGTCCTAAATATTCTTTTCCTCCTCCTTTAGATGTTGTTATCTCACCATTGATTTGGTAAGAAGTCTCATTGTTGGATGTGAAGGTACGGGAACAAGATATTTTGTATAGTCATAGAAGGCAACCTATGGGACGTTTTAGTAATGTCGTTTAGGGACTAGATCGTTTACCAAAGGCAACATTGAGGGACTATGATCTTTTATCGAGGGTCTTTGCTAAAACGCTCATATTCGAGGGACATGACTATTTTCCGAAAGGGAACAAAGTGAGATTATCCTAGAGGTGCTAGTGTGCAAGTGTGTTTGGTTACATATATTTTGTCTTGCATTTAAAGGTTATCTACTTGTTGATTTTATCTTGCCATACACCCTAATTACTAACAATATATGAAAGCAAATAAAAGGCGAAAGATAAATCCTAAGCTATTACATCATTTCAGGGATGGGGTACATGTTTACAAATGGATATTTGCAAGAATTTAGATCCTAATTATCTATTACAACCATATTGAATTGTACAATATAAAAAAAGAAAATGACTTGTTTTGAAAATGGTTTTTTTGTCTTTAGTAAATTAAAATAAAAATAATTAGTTAATAAAAATAAAACGTTTTTAAGCCTCTTTTATATTAACAAAAATAATATTAATACTGAAAATAATATGAATAAGAAAGAAAAATAAAAAAAATAACGAAACAGGATCAGCATGTTGCTGAAAACAAAAATGAGGGGGATCAGAAGTTCTGATGCTAGGCACGCTGTAGTTCAGAAGGAAACGTTGGAGGAGACCAGAAGTTCTGAGTTGCTGCGCGCTGAAGTTCTGAAAGAAACGTTAGAGGAAACCAGAAGTTTTGGGTTACTACGTGCAGAAGTTCTGGGTGTAAGACAGTGAGGAAAACCTAGAATTTCTGCGTGTGTTAAAACAATAAGAAATCCTAGAAGTTTTGTGTGTGTTAAAACAGTAAGAAAACCTAGAAGTTCTGTGTGTGTTAAAATAGTAAGAAAGCCTAGAAGTTCTGTGTGTTTTAAAACAGTAAGAAAGCCTAGAAATTTTGTGTGTGTTAAAACAGTAAGAAAGCCTAGAAGTTCTGTGTGTGTTAAAACAGTAAGAAAGCCTAGAAGTTCCGTGTGTGTTAAAACAGTAAGAAAGCCTAGAAGTTCTGTGTTGTGTTAAAAACAGTGAGAAAAACAATAAGAAGTTTTGTGTTACACTTCACCTCCTTCCTTACATTAGTCAGAGCATCTGCAACTTATTCAGTTCTTAACAACAACAAAAACAGAAAAATAAAAGTACGACAGTTTATAGAAGTTCTAATTATAATTTTGAGCCTAGTTTTCTTCAAGAAGTTCTGATCCATAGTTTTTCTACTTAGGCAACGATATGGACAATATCAGCACTATGATATCTACATATTTAATGATGTTCTGAATGAAAAGTTCAAAGTCATAATGACTTACCTTAAATCTGAAGCGTGTGTTTGGGACCTGAGCTGCTGCCTTCGAATGTTCCGGGGTTAGCCAAAAACAGAACATAAATGCTATGTTCTTTTTCAAAGGGAAGAACAAAGGTATTGTTTTTTTTTAGAATTCTGGGTTTAGGAATGTTTGAATGTTTTCTTTTCTCTCTTTTTTGTATTTGATCCCTCCCTCTTTTCAAAAGCCATCCTCTTAAACGTATGATGGAAAAACTTATTTATAGATGAGTTTACTGAAGTTTTGGGAGGGAAAACAAATGGGATTTTAACCCTTTTGGCATACTGTTCCATTGTTTTTTAGATACAGCTTTTATATGCTAATTTGATGCAAATATGGGGTTTGATAAAGTTCAGGCGTGGACTAGATCAACAACAATTTGGAGTGTTGTGGCAGCTGGATGCAGGACTGTGCCATAGCAGTGCAGCAGACTGTTCAAACGAGGTTTTGGGGCTTGGTGATGTTCTGATCAAAGAAGACCAGAATGAGACTCGAAGGGTGATGTTCTGATCGAAGCGTAGAACATAGTCTCCATATGCTGAAGAGTCATATTCTGATCGAAGGATACAATTTCCTTATGTTATGATTGAAGAGTCCTGTTCTGAATCATTTTTTGCAAATTCTGACTGCACTTGTGTGAAAACTGGCCCAGAAGTTCTGAATTTAACATATTTCTTAATACTTAGAAAATTTTCTAAATGTTTAGAAATTTGACTTTTTTCAAAGTAATTTTTGACTTTTGATTTCTTGATGAACCAATTTCCTGTCCTGATGGAATATGATTGTTGAAACTTGATTTTGATCAAAAAGTCAAAGTTTGACTTTTCAGTGTGCTTTTGACCATTTTGCCCTTGTGAATGACTTTCTTGGAAAATTGTAATCTGAGACTTGAAACTTGACAGAAGCAAACCTGAGGGTCCAGGATGATCCTTTGAGAAATGAGAGGGAAAATTTTGGGGTACAACAACTGCCCCTGTTCAATCTTCTTAAACCTGAAGAGTTAGATTGACGAATCTGTCATTCGTGACTTGAAGGTGGAATATGATTGAACACTAGAGTGCCCAGAAATTTGCACTTGATGTTATGGTGTAAGGAATGGGCTTAAAGATTCCATTTGGAGAAATGATGGAGAGTTGGCGGAGATGGACTTATGGATTCCATCCGAAGGTGACTGTTGATAGAAATTAGACTAAGTCTAAGCTTGACTTCAACTGGGGCAAGAATCAGAATAAACCTTTGGTCGATTTAAAAAAATTTGAATCTAGCAGAAGTCTTGAATAATCTTTAACTGGAAAGAATCAGGATAAATCTCTGGAGTGATTTATCTGAACCAGGGAAGGCGTCTATTGGGAAAGAATCAGGATAAACTGTTGAGAGGTTTAAACTAAACCAGCAGATGTCTTGGATATTTTTAAACTGGAAAGAATCAGAATAAATCTTGGGGCGACTCATCTGAACCAGAGAAAGTGGCTATTGGGGAATGAATCGGGATAAACCGTTGAGAGATTTAAAGTGAACCAGCAAGGGTCTGGAAAAGAATCAGAATAAATCTTGGGGGCGACTCATCTGAACCAGAGAAAGTGGTTGCGGGAAAGAATCAGGATAAACCGTTGAGAGATTTATATTGAACCAGCAGGGGCCCGGAAAAGAATCAGGATAAATCTTGGAGTGATTTATCTGAACCAGAGAAAGTGTCTACTGGGGAAAGAATCAGGATAAACC